TATATTTTCAATATTATTATTTATTTCCACTATGCTTTCAACAAAGTAGGTATTTAAGACCTCTGCTATTTGATTTTTATCTTCAATATATTGACCACCATGATGTAATAATGTAATATCATCTTTTATACCATCATAGCAAACCGTCTGTTTTAAATATTTCCACATTAACTTGCTATCGGACTGGTTAGTTATAATTTTATTCTCCATATACTTATTTAATTCTTTTCAGTTTTATAATTTTTTTGTATTATTTTTTAATTCTGTAGTAGTCTGACCATTGGTGTGATGCTTTTGCTAAATTGTATGCCTCTTATTTTCTTTTATTTAGTTGTGTCAGTTCGTAGTCATACCACTTATTCTTTATTTTAATGTTTATTTGTTTCACAAACGTTAATTGTTGCAGACTGTTAAGCTAGCATAGATTTATGAATGCTACCATTTCCTCTAAATCAAGTTGATCAAATGTGGAAAAATCGTAACATCGGAGCAGATCAATTAAGCTATCACAACTATACCATTCCCAAGACACTATTTCTGATACCATTCTGAGAGGGATTTGATTTCCTATATTAATATTAAGCATTATTGTTTCATGATCAGATATTTTGTGTCGATCAAGCCTCTTACATGCTTACATGCAATATTTTTCACATTTGAATATAGGAGATCAATCTTTGTCTCAGATTCTTCTGCTATTCGGGTATTGAAATCTACAAGTTGGTGCATGGACATGGAATTAAACAACTCATTCAATTTCACACTGTGTGTCGATACTTTGTTCATATTGATATTAAAATCGCCAACAATTACATTGTTAGACGTTGTATGTTGTTGTATCATATATGTCCATTACTATTGCATCAAGATAGTTGATAAACTCACTATCACTAGTACTTGGGGAGCGGTATAAAACTCCAATTTGCCATTTAACCTCAAGATCTTTTAATTGCACAATAATACACCATATATTTTGTATTCATGGATTTATTATATTTAACCCTAAATTCCAGCGAGTTTTTAATGTACATAACTACACCTCCGGTGTGCCTACTATGTGAATTACATCTAATTGCTGTAAACGATTTTAGACCTATTTCAACATCCCTAATTTGATCTGTTATGCTAGTTTCGGAACAAAGTACAAGAGCTGGGTCAAATAACTCCACTAGTCTGTCGATTTCAAGTTTATTGTTAACGTTTAAATATATTACTTTAAAATCTTCTGATTTTTTACTTATAACACTTGCTAGATGTGGTTGCTAGTAACCCACCCGCTGTTTTTGTATTTTCAGTTTTCTTTGGTAGACAGGGCATTCCTTGCTGAAAATGCTATGACCTGTATCGAGCTTAAAACCAAGATTTTTATTTGCGTCCGCACAAGTTCCACAGACAGGATTTGTTACCTTGTACTACACTCATCAGATTTATGTTCACCCAAACATAGACCACATCTT